AAAAAAAATTTGATTCTCGCATATATATTTTTTCATGGGATATCGCATGGATAAGATTTCTTTTTTTTTGGTAAGATGCGTTTATTCGTTAATATCCAAGACTATTCGTTTGTAACAACATTCATATACATAATACATGAAACTTATATATACAAAGCTATGTTAAGGTTTTTTCACAAAACAATAATAATAATGTTAGAATTAATTTATCATCGGACAAACACCATCAGTCCACTAAAAAGAAAATAGAAGCATAAAGCTAGATATTCAATATGTATATGTATTTCTTTATTTCTTACAGTTAAAAGATGACGATGTTCAGCAAGTGCTATTGCAGATTGATAATCTTTTTGTAGGCTATCATTTATTTGTATAACGCGATCATTTGTTTCAGCTAATCGAGGATCATTACAAACATGATAAAGATCTAAACATCAGAAATTACATCTTAAAAAAATTCATTTTTATGTTTTTTTTTTCTACCTCGAAGTAAACTCATTGTATTCAATTGTGCAGTATAATCAGGAATCGATTGGCTTATTGTTGTTGCTGATTGAAGCATGTTTGCACTTTCCTATAATATATGAAAAAAATAGAGAGAAAAATTATCAATAATTTTTTTATCGTTTACTTGATAGCTATGCATTCGAAAAAACATATGACCAAGAATAATAAATGTATTAGTTAAAATTTTATTTAAATCTTCATTACTGGCAAGATTAGCTGCACGTCGAAAGAGTTCTCTATTTAAAGTCAAAAAAGAAAATTGAGTTTTTTGATTTTTTTTTTGAAATAATCTGTTGTATATCTTACTTAGCTTCATGTATACGAGATTGTGTTAAATTGTGAAGACCATTTAATAAATTTCCAATAGCATGAAGTATTGCCGATCTATATAATTAAAGTACACAATGAATTTTTTTTTTTTTTTCTTTTAAAAATGAATATTATTTTACTGAGTTGTATTTAATTCAATATTAATTTGTTGTAATATCGGTACTAGATTTGCTATTTTGGATGTTCGTAAATAAATAATAATAAGATTAGCAAAAATAAAAAAACGAAATTCTTTATCGCCAGAAAACTATAATCGAAAAAATCCTTTTCGAAATTTATATGTTAACAAAAGAAATAATTTACTCGTGTTCGAAGAGCACTTGCAAACTAAAGAAAAATAAAAAGAACTTCTGATAATCGATAATCGAAAAGTTTTCAGACAAAATACTTGTTCACTTTTGACATGATAGAAAGCATTTCCGAAGAATCAAAAACTGTAGGTAGCAACCAGGATTATGATAGAGATTAGAAATATTTTTGTTCAAAAGTAGTAAGAAACTCTTTGAAAATGCGAAAAATTTTTGGAATCAGTTATTTTCTAGAGGGAAACAACAATTATTGATTTTTCAAAAGTAAAGAAAACAAAGAAAAACTTCAACTAGTATATTTTATCTTTTCACTATAGCGATTCGAAACTAAAAGTTTGAATTTTTATTTATATCAGTCTATAGATCAGAAGCTATTCGGCAAAATAAATTAATATCTTGTCTAAAAACTTTTCAATCAACCATTATACTTTCCAATTACCTGTGCTTCAGCTGCTTCATTAAAATTTAATGATGTTGCATAGAAACCCTAAATAAAAAAATAAATTGTTTTCTTTTTTTTTTTTATCTGATTTCTATTAGGTAAATTTACTAATAATGCATGAAGAGTTAATGTACGTTGAATAGCATTGCTATTATTAATCGGATTTGATGTATTATGAAGACGACATAACATATTGATCTAATTAAATGTTTATGTTTATTTTAAGTAAATATTTAAATATGAAAATAAAAGACTAACTTCTTTAATAGCAACAGATTTATTACCAAATATTAAATGACTTTGTATACGACATTCATAAAATAGCATTTCAACAGCCATTAAAAATGGACTATGATCTACATTTTTAATTTGTTCTATTTGTGCTTGAGCTTTATCAGCATATTTAAGTGCTTTTTCTAATCGACCTGATAGCATTGAATGAAAAACGGTTAACTAAAGAAATTAGTTAAAAAAAAAGAGGCAAAAGTTTAATAATATACAAAGTTGAATTTATTCGATTAACATACTAAATAAACAAGAACATTTAAATGATCACGAGATAACCATATAAACTGTTCAAGAGGATTTGTAATTAAATAAGCTTCTAAAATAAATTGAAAACAAATAAATAGTTATGATATTATAAAGAAATAAATTACCTTCTTCAGGACGACTTGCTAGATTTTGAATACTTTGTTGAAGTTGCATCAATGCATTTTTTGATGATTTTATCTATGCATATAAAATATTTATAAATTTTATACACCTTTCAAAATATATTTTATAGAATAAAGAAAACTCATTTCATCAAATTTCTAATTGAATTCTATGGTTTAAGCATAACATACTTGACCTAGTCCAAAACAAGAACATGAAATATGTAAAACCAAATAAAAAATTCTTAATGTTTCAATATGTGAAAAATTGCCTTGTAATGAATTAATTCTATCTAAACATGGTTTTAATAAATTTTGTGCATCTATATAATCTTTTAATGATAATCGTAACTAAAAAGATAAAAACGTTAATTTTGAAAATTTTTATTTCAATTAATTATGTTACCATTGCTTTAGTAAGTTGAAAAAGAATTTGACAAAATAAAACATTTATTCTTGCACAAAATTCTATTCCACGATCAACATAATAAATTGATGTATTATAATCTTCTTGAGAATGATAAATACTCTAAAAATTAAAACAACAATAATTTTCAACATCAAGAAATTGAATTCTTATTCTATTTTACAATTATTTGAAATATAATTCTACAATGCCAATATGGTTGTTGTGATGAAAGATCATATGCTTGTTGAAGTAATGTTATTGATGATGCAAATTGATTTTGATTTAAATATATTTTAGCTAACAAACAAAGACTTTCAAGTTTTATATCATCTGGCATTTGAGCTAAATGACACTACAAGAAAATATATGTTAAAATTATAGATAATCAAAAAAACAAACAAACAAACAGCTTTATCAAGATGCATCGATGCCATATCAATATTTGTTGTATGTTGTGTATATAATCTTCCCAAAAATAAATGAATTTTAGCTTCCATTAATGGTGGTAATCTTATTGTTAAAATAGCTTGTAAACATTGAATAGCTAAACGATAATTAGGTGGTGTACTTGTTCGAAAATATTCTGCTGATCCAAGTAAAGCTAAATAAACAGGATCGGCCATCTAAAACAAATTTATAGTTTGATCTAACTAAATGCAAACATAAATAAATATTATTTATGATAAAAAAGAAAAGAAGAAGAATATGAAAATTGAATGTTTATATATACATCTGCTTGTTTGTTTTTGTTTTTTTTTCTCTTTTTTCATTTTTATACATTCACTCACGAAATTCAAAATAAAAATAAATTGTTATTACACAAAGAAATAAAAAATAGGAGAGAGAGAGACTAGGCACAACAAAAAAAAACTGGGTGAAGGAAAGAGCGCATCGCTCTATCTTTTTTGTTTTTATCTAAACACAAAAAAAAAATTATTTTTATGCTCATGTAAAAAGAAATACAGAGATAGATTGAATATATTAATTAACGTGAGATTGCCTAAATTGCACAGAAAATAAAACCATAAAACACCGTAAATTGAATTGAAATAAAGATATATGTAGAGAAAGGTTTCTTAGTTTTTTTTTTTTAATAAGGTATTGAATTTTGTTGATATTGAATATAATCATATAGACGTGTTCTTAAACTATGTGCACATCGATTGATTACTTCATGCATATAACGAGCTGCTTCAGCTTCACTTGAATCTGGTTTGAAACGAGCATTTAATTGTTCTAATGTATGGCCACGAAAACATGGTAAACCAGTATCAAGCATTAATGCAACAAGAGTTATAAAATGATGACGATATGGTCTGAAAATAAAAATAATATTTCAATTGATTAGACATGTACAAGGTAAGTTTCTTTTGTATTAGGAAAACTGTAAAATTTCTGAAATCTATTTTAAGAAATTTTCACTATCTTTACACATTTCAGTACTTGAACAAAACAATTTTTGTACATATGTATATATTGAAATCTTTAATCTTAAAAATAAAAAAATGCAGATTTCTCAAAATACATTTAAGAATTTATTTTTCTGCCGGATGATTTTGATAGCTTCGATTTCAATTTTTTAGAAATGTCGGACTTTACCCTTCAATAACACTCAGAAAAAAATTAGATTCTATTGAAATAAAATCTTTAAAATTGATCTGAAAATACTACTTAATTGACATAATAAGCATTTGAGATATTAGTTCTTAGAAAATCAATACTTTCCATTTTGAACATCACTGAAAACCATTAGCAATAAGTCTTTATTTGATTTTAATGATACTATTCGATTATCTCTCATAGTTATCTCATCCATCGCATTCTGAATAATTCTTATGCATGAAAAGTAAGGCATTAGTATTCATTATCAAATATTAACCGTTTCAACATCAGTTTCTCAATTAAATCTATTCTTTTCTAAGAATGATATCTCCTAACAAAGATTTAAATTATTATATAATAAAAATTTATATTTTACCTTAAAGCTAAATAACCTTTAATACATAATTCTTTAAACCATTGAAAAGCTGGAGCAGTAAGATCACCCATAATCAGAATCATTTCTGCAGTTAATTTAATATCTGGCTCAAAGCGCATATTACCACCAGGTGATGATTCAAACAAAAAACCAAAATCTATATATAAGAAAAAAAAAACAAATTATTATTTATAAAATAAAAATATTATTATAAGAACAAACCAATATGAATAATATGTCCTTCATCATCAACCCTAAATAAACACAAAAAGAAAATCTATATAAAAAAAAATATTATTAAATTTTAATTAAAACAAACATAATATTGCCATTATGACGATCTTTTATTTGAAGCATAAAAAGTGCTATTGAGTATGCAGCCATACTCATTACAAAATTTCGACGTGCCTTAAATATAAAAACTTAATTTGAAAAAGTTTTCTTTCTATTTATTTAATTATACTTTTTGAAATTTAATTGAATCATCTTTTCCATAAACATGTCGAAAATATTCAAATAAACCAACTTCTGTATTTCGACCAATATCTTCACGTGAACGAGAATTTGGTACACATTCAATAACACCACACTATTGTCAATAAATTTTATTTTTTTGTTATTTGGAAATCATTAAAAGATTGAATACTTACACCAGGACTTGTAGCAATAACACGATATGTATATAAATATAATTCTAAACCTTCTTGTTCGAATATATTTTGAAAAAGACGCATTAATTGTAAAGCCAAAATATCCTTTTTGTTTTGAAAATAAAACATTAGGTATTTTTCTTTTGTCAATGAAAAAAGAAAAACGAGATAATTCTACCTGTCGAACATCATCACCAACTTTAAAAATAGCCATTTGAGAATATTGATTACTAAAATCTTGCATTAATTCATAATCAGGATCAGCACAACGTTCAACTTGTTCAATACCAACAGTTTGAACACGAAATGTTGCACGATATGGTGCTTTAGCCGCACTAAAATACAAGTTATTATCTTTTTTTTTTAATAGTTATAGTATAGTTAATATAATTTACCTTTGCATCGGAGCTCCACTCTCTGGTATTAAGGAAATAACAATTGCTTCAGGATTTGATGGTAGATAAACACCGGTTGGTACTTCATTACAAATAGCTCGTAATTCTTGTAGACAAGCTAATTAGAAAAAGCCAAAAAAATATTTCAGTCAGTCTATCATATAACAAAGATTTTTATTATTTTTTTTAGCAAGAATAAGAATATTTGTTCGTAATAGAAAGACAAGGATTATGTTTTAATACTGATTATTAGCATCAGGTCGAAAAAATAATTTTTTCTTAAAGATTAAATTTTTCTGAGTTCGTATTATTGCATTAAGAACTATGTGTTTCGTTCTGTTAAAATCCGAAACAATTTTATTATGAGGTAAGTTTTATTTGGTTTCAGGACCTAAAATTCAGTTTTTGAGTAGAATACTATTTTGTTTTAGAAGTTTGTTTCTTAGTAAAAAGCCCAGTTTGCTAAAAATGTCTTTTTGATCGAGCCAAAAGTTTCAAATCCGAACGTGGTCAAAACATACTTTGGTACTTTCGATGAAATTTTCTCATCGGAATTGGTTCATGGCTTCGAAGACATGGGATGCTTCTCTCCGAACGTTTGTATTCGTTGACAAGCACACTCTACACATTTCTCAGATGATGGAGCCAGTCAGTTCAAAAAGTTTTAGACTCAAATCTGAAACTAACCCTATAGACACTCTAGTTATTTTCATTTTATTTAATCTTACCTTCTTTACGTGAATTTCCTTTTGGATAACTTTTAATTGTATCAGATACTTTAGTAAGTCGATCCGAAAAAGCAAAAACACGTTCATAAAAATTTCTTGCATCATATGCAAAATCAATTTCAATTTGTCGAGCTATTGGTTCTAATTTTGCTTGCATTTCATTATCAGGTGTATCTTCATTTTTATATGTATTTGTTCGAATATTCCATATAAGTTGATGTGCTAATAAATTTGATTTTTTCGATAATGCTAATATTAAACGACGTACAAAACCCATCTAAATAGAAAATAGTTTCTATTAATTAAATAATTATTTTATTTAAGTTTTTTCTTTTTTTATATACTTCATCATAACGAACAGCTTGTACTAATTGAGGAATATATAAAATAAGTGCTTCCGATTTTGTTGTATATAACATTCGTGAAGCGAATTGAATTGTATAGGAATTTGCAACTTGATTAAGACGTGCACTAGCAAAATAGGATAGTGCAGCAACAGGATTAATTGAAGCCCAAGTTAATATATGAGATGCCTAAAATCACAAATAAAATTAAAGAGTTATGTATGTTTTTTTGTTTTAAATTATTACTTCGCATTGTCGATCATTATCTGAAGTTAATGTAAATATACTAAGTGCTTCTGGTATATGACGAACTTGTAATGGATATGATTTGATTAGACGTTGAATTTCAAGACGTAAAGATTCTTTTGGAATACTAAAATTGAATAAAATGTTTTCGAAAAAAAATATTAATAATTTAGATAAACTTACGTATAATAAAGACTAGTAGCTAAATCAGGTGAAATAAGCCAAGCTAAACGTCCATATTCTTGCCAAGCTTTATTAGTAATTCCATTCATATCATATAATTTCCAATTAGTATATGTTGATTGTGTATCTTGATTAAATTGAAGTTCTGGACGTCCTAATGGATTATGAAATGTTTCCAAACGTTCAATTTCATAAGCCTTAACAATTTAAGTTTTTGTTTTTTTTTTTTTTTAGTTAATTTAATAAAAGATTTATTTAACTTACAAGCAATGTTAAAAGAAGATTACGTTTTTTAAGTAAATCTCGAGATAATACTCGTGCATCATTACTTTTTTCAGTATTTTTTGCTGATGTGCCTAAAACAAGAAGAAAATATTTAACAAATTCAATCAAAATTGAATAATTTCAAGAATATTTTCTTTTAAAAAGAAAATGAATACAATATATCCAGACACTTTTATACTCTAGATTGTATATATTTTAATACTATCAATAGGATATATTATCATAGAAAAATTCAATCTTAAGAATTTATTGTTTTATTACCAGATTTTCGACTTAATGTTGATTGTACACTAACACCTTGTACAGCTCCAGCACTACTACCAGCTAATGTATTAATCCATCCAGATGTTGGTCCACTTTTTGTTGTACCATATAATGATGCAGCATCAATTGTTTCATGATTAAGACCATTCGGTATTGAATTACTGGCATCAACTAAAATAAATAGATAATTTCTTTATGTTTTGTTTTTAACAAAAAAAAAATAAGCCAACATACTTGTCGTTGGTGAATCATTACAAAATTTCTTTTCACCATGAACTAATGAAAAAAATCGAATTAATGTTCGAATATCACTTCTTAATTCATTATGTGTTTGAGTTGGACAATGATGATGAACACTATAGAAATTTTAATAAATTATTTTTAGTAAAACTTTTTTTTTAAATTAAATCTTTTACTTACGTAAAATAATCAAATGCTGTATGATAAATTTTTTCTCGAAGTAAAAATTTACTAATACCATCCGATAAATAATCACTTTGTACAAGATATAAAGCTAAATATAGAAAACGAAATCGAAGACCAACAGCAT